AGTACCTCATCAACATTAATGAATTTAGTTTCACATCACCCCTGTGAAGTAGGGATGTATCATTATCCCCTGTAACAGATGATTCAGTGGTTTCTCCATGTTTGCACAGTAAACCTGTGCAGAGCTGCAAAAAGAAACTCGATTAGTTGACTCCCACTCTTGTACCTCAACCACACTCTGCCTTCTTCCTTTGTTTAAGTAAGGATCTGAGGATTTGGATCATTATATACACACACACACACACACTCACGTATTATCCCTTTTCCACCTCACCTGTGGATATCTACTTGTTCGCCTTAAAAACCTACATAAGGTACCTGATGATGTCAGCAAAGTATAGATCTTTTACAGTACTCTGTGCACTTCTTATGTTTAATTTTACAAGAGACAATACAAAATGGGCTGACTCTGAGAATAAAAATTTGTGCCTGTGGATTTTAATTGGCTGTCTCCATTCGGAAAGAATTGTACATGTGGTAATAAATGCCAGATAGTGAGAAGTACAAAATCTCAAGGTTTGTGATTTACATCCGAAAGCAACAAAGCTACAGCACTGCAGTGCAGATAAACCCCAGACCCAAACACATCTCTATTGTATGTACTACACTGTGTACACATCACATTTGTATATTGCGCCCATTGAAATATATTTGACTTAGGGATTTGGAAAATTCCAGCAAAGTGGACAAATATTTGGAGAGGTCTAAGAACAACAATAATTTTGTTCAGTGATTTTGCTCTTTTCTCAGTTTTTTTGGATTTCATTGTAATCATGTATATATTATGCTGATAATGACAGCACATGTCCTATGGCTGGAAGATACAACAGCCAAGTTCTGAGAGGGGTGGGTCAGAAATGACAGGTGACACATTTCAGCAGTCTGATTGGGCTACAGTTACAGAGTATTGCTTTTCTTTGGTGAGAGGAATAAATTCAGATTTATAGGTAGCAATGAAAGGATGGCCATCATACTACATACTTGGTAGTCAGGAATGTTCATATAATCCTTTCATAAAAGGGGGCGGGAGGGCTGATTTTACTCAGTTGAAACTGTCTGTCTTTTTTGGCCCTTCTGGGAACATATTTTCTAGCAAGCAATTACAACATAAATGCACCATTATCACAGAATTGGATAAATGAATGAATAAATAGCATAGTTTAAGTAAGGAAATGTACAGAAGAAGATGCTACTGTTTAAAAAAACAACTCAGGTAATGTAGTGTAAAAAAAGAGGAGCTAATAACATGGAGAAATAATTGTCAGATAGCAGAGAAAGAGAAAGAAGAGAATCACAAGCTGGTATACAGTGCCTCTCTGAATCTGCTGAGAAGAGACTGACCGATGGAAACTAACTAGCATACACTCATCATATTCTCCTGAGGGAGTCTCCCAAATGCAATGGAGGCATCTTGCTGATAGTTTTGTGATAAATTGTCTGGAAAAGGGAGATAATTTAGATCTTCCAATCCACAATGAAACAGTGATAAACTAAGGCATAAGACATATTTAAAAATACTAATAAAGCATTTAATGGATACTCTATTTTTCTCTGTGGTTGCAGAACTGAATTATTCAGTATCAATTACAAACCAAATATTAATGCACAGTGAATAATTCACAATGAATATTGTATTCAATTAATGTAACTTGTCCTGCTGCTTCAAGAATACCCTCAAATTTAATTTTCCTTCAAATTTGATATAGTTTTATTTCCTCAGATATATTTGTTATTTAAAAGTATTTTGCAAAAAAAAATTGCAGGGCTTTTAACCATTTTTGAGCAAGCCATTTTTTTTAAAATCTGTGTGCATTCAAGATTTGTTGTTCAGATTGTGTAGGTTAGTGGTGATAGGTCCTAGAAGCTAAAGACAAAAAGATGCACATTGTAATTTTTATATCTATCTATATTTTTACTTTCCTTCTTTCACGAAGTCATTGATATAATTTAAGGTCCTGTTCCTTCAAGTTACTTAATTTCTAACAGAAGCAGGATCATAGCTTCAGTTTTCTGGCAGATGACTCCCAAAATTCTGTTTCTGTAAGTACATTGAGTAGTCAGTTATACTTTGACTGGTTTTTCCCTTTCAAAAGTAAAACAACACAACATGAGTCCATTCTGACCCATCTCAGATGTTCTTCTACTAATTGGGATGCAGTGTGGCTGTCATAAATATAAAGGGAAGGGTAAACACCTTTAAAATCCCTCCTGGCCAGAGGAAAAACCCTTTCACCTGTAAAGGGTTAAGAAGCTAGGATAACCTCGCTGGCACCTGACCAAAATGACCAATGAGGAGACAAGATACTTTCAAAGCGGGGAGGCGGGGAAGAAACAAAGGTTATCTCTGTCTGTGTGTTGTTTTTTGCCAGGAACAGAAAAGGAATGGAGTCTTAGAACTTAGTAAGTAATCTAGCTAGATATGCGTTAGAGTCTGTTTTGTTTAAATGGCTGATAAAATAAGCTGTGCTGAATGGAATGTATATTCCTGTTTTTGTGTCTTTTTGTCACTTAAGGTTTTGCCTAGAGGGATTCTCTGTGTTTTGAATCTGATTACCCTGTAAGGTATTTACCATCCTGATTTTACAGAAGTGATTCTTTTACTTTTTCTTCAATTAAAATTCTTCTTTTAAGAACCTAATTGCTTTTTCATTGTTCTTAAGATCCAAGGGTTTGGGTCTGTGTTCACCTATGCAAATCGGTGAGGATTTTTATCAAGCCTTCCCCAGGAAAGGGGGTGTAGGGTTTGGGGAGGATTTTGGGGGGAAAGACGTTTCCAAGCGGGCTCTTTCCCTGTTATATATTTGTTAGACGCTTGGTGGTGGCAGCAATAAAGTCCAAGGGCAAAAGGTAAAATAGTTTGTACCTTGGGGAAGTTTAACCTAAGCTGGTAAAAATAAGCTTAGGGGGTTTTCATGCAGGTCCCCTCATCTGTACCCTAGAGTTCAGAGTGTGGAAGGAACCTTGACAGTGGCCAAGTGGACAGAGCACTGGACTGGGACTCAGGATAGCTGAGTTCTATTTCTGACTTGGCTGCTGGGTGACCTTGGGCCAGTCATTTTTCACCATTCTATGCCTCAGTTTCACCATTTGTAAAAGGGGAATAATGATAGTGCTCTCCCATTGTCAGATCTACCAATGAAAACCCTTCTGCTACATATTATTATTATTATTATTTTAGTGGTAGTAGTAGTACACAAGGGAGAGAGTATTTAAGTGTGAACCAAATAGAAATCAGTTTGCCTCAAACTAACTTCCTCTTCTTTAGTGCGCATACCTTATTGCAGGGAAGATTGGCAACCAGAGCTGGGAGATACAGTCTGAAAAAAGGGAAAAATTATTTGAATTCAAGGATTGCCCCAGGGTCCCTTTCTATTTTCAAAATTGAAAATGGGCCCATTGTGGTAGAAAAATCAGTGATATATTTTTTAAAAATTAAGGGAAATTGCCCCTCTTTTCCAGCAAAAAGATGCCAGATGTTGAACAGTGCTTACTTTGACATAAAAAATATGCAAGAATGTGCAGTTTTCAGTTTTTCAATGCAAAAATAGCCATTTTTTTTTTTACAAAAGCAAAAATCTGGGATGCAGTAGTAGTGTGCAAAATTGCACAAAACTGAGATTACTCATACTGAATTTGCCAAGATAAAAATGATGAGTTTGGCATTGCTCTTAAAAGCCACCTAGCGGCCTGGAGTAACCCATAGTCCTAAACTGGAACCTTCTTCCTTCCCTAAGTGTCTATTTTCTGCCACAGATGCTTCTGGTGATTGAAAGACTCTTACTACATATGCTAGGTGTCATTACAATAAGGTTTTTAGTCTGTTTAGCTTTGAACTGGAAACAGCACCTTTCACTCCTTTTTTAAAAAAAATACCCCGTTGACCTAACATATTTTGGACTGAGTAGGGCCCCCATACTGTATGTGGATCCACACAGCTAATTGCTTCAGTCTAGCAACAGAAGAACAACAGTCTGTAGACGTTTTATGATCCATTTCCCATCCAAACATATGGGGTAGCTGGCTCTGTCCAAAACACACTGATTGCGCCATACCCTCAGTAGCACACATGCAGCCCCACAAAAGATGATAGGGTTACACTGGTGTAACTAAAGGCAGAATATGGCTCCACGGATAATTTAAAAATACTGCTGTAGCTTCAGTAATTCCCCCGTTTACTGCGGCCCTATTCCTAATGCCTGATTCTTTTACCACTTACCCTGGTTTTACACCAACATAATTCTACTGACTACAGTGGAGTTACTAGCAAGACCAGAATCAGGATTTATGATACTGTGACAAATGTTAATGGGGCAAATAATCCTCATTTACATACCAGCTTCCAAGTGAAGCCAGTGGTGTAAATGAGAGGAGAATTTGGCCCCATTGGAGTCAGTGCGGCTCTGGGCAAACATGGATCCACTCACACAGACTCAGCTGCAGGATCACTGTCTCATCAGGTACTCTAGCTCTTATCACATACACAATAACTTTAAGCACATGATTGCAGCAGCCATGCTTGCAAGGAAACGTGGGGGGAAGGATTTGGTTTAAATTACTTTAAATTGAAAAAGAAAAATGCAAGGAGCAAGAACCAACCATTGCTACTGTTGTTAAGGTGTACACAGTAAACTTAAGGAGGTGAGGAGAGGAAGCATAACGAGTTGATACGTGCTAGAATGCAAGCTTTTCTCTGGAAAGGGGCTGTACAAATTACTTTGAAAAGAAACCTGTTTATTGTGTTTCATTAACTCCATATTAATTTTGTTCGCCAGCGAAGTAAAATAATAGTTTTCTAACTACTAGAACCCAACTGGGGATCTGAAAGTCACAAGGGGTTCTCTCCATCTCATGTCTCATAGTAAAGATGCTGCAGACAAAATTTATACCCTTGGTTACATCCATTGGTGATGTTGCATGGGCCATAATTTGGCCTGAAGCAGCTTACTGCATGGGAAGACAGAAACCAGTTCTCAGCTTCTCACATTTCCTTTGCAAGGTTGGCAGTTAGAAAAATTGCTTTTTAACTTGGAAACACAGCACATTACATGGTCATCGATAACTGGGGGTTTGGAGGGCTTTAGCCCTTCCGAAAAATTTAGATTGCTTTAATATATAAAGGAAACACTGAGTTTGGAACAGAAGCTCATTTATCTCACTTTATTAAAAGTGCATAAATTTAGTTATGATACAAAACTACTCATTAAAAGTGAAATTCAGCATCTATTATTATTTTTAACTCCAGCCTCTCCAAATAAAAAAAGCTGTCTATGCCCCTGCAGTGGCAATTTCCATAGTGAAGGATGAGCAGAGCTAAACATCAGAGTACATCAAAGCTATACAGCAGAGTAACACTATAGAAGTACACCTATTAATAAAGGAGGTGGAATGGGAGAATAATGACGGATTCCAAAGTGGCTGAGTAGATGAACTGCTTATATAAAAATGTCTAACCTAGAAAAATACAAAAAAGAGTTATAGATAACTAAAAAGTAGTGAAGAACAAGAAAACTTAACTTAACAAAAAGCAAGTAGAAGAAGACCTAGAAAATTTATCAACAAATCTGCATATTTTACCCAATAAATCATCAAGTGTTTAATTGTCTGTACTCTGGCTGGAAAACTAAGATTGCAGAAGTTAGAAAAGAAACAGAAGAATATGCTTGATGAGTACTCTGAGTAAACTAAATTTACCATTCAGCAAGCATAAAGAAAAGAGGAAATAGAGGTATGATTTGTGAACATGTTCAATACTACATGTTAGTATCAAGTATAACACTGACAGACCCTGGTCATCGGAGGGCACAATTGAACATGGGATCTCCTGGAGCTTGGTGTATGAGCCTCTACTGCAGGTGCAAAAAGCCACATGGCCCTTAGCTAAGGCTGTAGCAGACTCATTAATCTCTAAGTGGTCTCAGTGCCACTAGAGGGGACAGAGCACCACACCAGGAGTGTGTGGATTACACAAAAACTGAGAATATTTAGGATGTAGAGCCCAAAGTAAAATAAGTTATTGGTTACACACTTCTGACAGATTACAGTCATAATGAAAAAGGCTCTTTTGTAATCATGAGAGAGAAAACTGATGACCCTAAGTCATTAAGAACTACTCTCAAATGTGTGTTTGATTTGTATAAATACCAAATGGGACACTGAAGAATTATTTTTGTCCGTGTCGTAGTTCCAGGGATTTTGTGTCTATAGTTGCAGTTCCTGGCGTAACAGCAGTTCTAGTGTGCAATAAATTGATGAATATTATGAGCAGCTATGAGCCTGAACTAATATAGTTAGCCAAGATTATGACAATGCTGAAAGATGAAGATGATGCATTTGTTGATGTACAAGCTAGACTGGAATGAATTTGCTCTGTGTATAACTAAAGGCACTTGGACTGAGTACAGTTGGTTGGAAAACATGTTCTGTGAAACTTTTGCAAAAAAAAAGTATTTGTCATCTTTCATCAAAATTTCATTCACAATAATTTTCAGCCAGTTCTAGTACTAAGGACTTTATGATTGGGTTTTTGATTCAGTACTTGCTCAGAAATAGTGATAGTAAGAAAGTTAGGGGAGAGGGTTGAATTTTGAGAGCATTTACATTAGTTTAAAAATGTCAATTTCCTTGCTATTCAGTCTTCCGAAGAGCAGGAATATCATTATTCACACAAAAGACAAATTAATTTGAAAGGTTTGAATGACACAAGATAGAGCTGCTAATGACAGAGTCTAACTTCAATTAAGCAAACAATAAAAGCCATTAATAACAACTCAAAATATCACTGGTGATTGGAACTCACTTGCCAAATTCAATGGATTTGTGGTGTGCCATAGACTGAGTTTATTTTGTGTTTGTTTACATATTACTCATGCTATCTTGTTGTCTGTTAATTTGGTATCCACAATTCTTTAGCTTCCTAATCCACATTTGATTGCTGAACTTCATACCATATATCAATACCAAGAGAACAAATATTGACAATGCACACTCACAATATATCCAATGACTACTGAGATCAAGTCTCAACAGTAGCCATAGGAATTGCTTTGCATGTTAATAAACTTCTGCAGCCATGAAGAAGATGAGTGGCATCATCTAGAATTGATGACAATATAACTGTGCTACATGTAAAAAGGAACTTTTTGTGGTTATAGACTAACATAGCTGCTACTCTGAAACCTATTATTAAGAACAGGCAGTGATCCACGGTGGGACAAAAAGTGATTGAAATCTTCGACGATGATCATGATGATGATGATAGTGGAGCATCACATTGCTACGGGTTTGGATAATAATGCATGCATAGGTTCATTGAAAACCAGAACTCTGGACTAAGTGATATCTTAATTTATAAAGGCTATAACTCTAGAGCACTGATTGATACTTATATAAATATCACCATTTTCACCTTCTTTTCACCATCCATTTTAAGGAAATTACATGTCCTTAAAAATATATAATTATTCATCGAACTTAATTTGAAGGAAAATATATTACCAATATGCTACATGCTATTATAAAACATAGACTCACCCTAATTTAGAGCAAGCTGTTGGCTTACATTGTGTTTAGCTGCATGCCAAAGAGGTGGAACTTTTCTGTCCTGGAACTTTTCTGTAGGTGGAACTTTTCTGTCCTGATTTTGGCTCTAAATAAAACTTGAAGAGAGGCCACTCCATGTGTAGGCAGGGCACAAGTGTTAGAGGATGTGGACTTCACCTTAATGAACACGCGCTCCCATTCCAGGCAATGACAAATATTCCTCTCCCCATGCAGAATTCATGCTCCTAACAAGGATAATTTGAGTGGTGTTATTGTTGGTCAGAAAATGGACTGTATATCAGCACCACTTTTGTAGCATATATGTGATCCTCTGTTGCGGGTATTTATGCAGTGAGGAAAAATTTGGTCCATAACATTTTCTTTTTATACTTATAGTCCAGGTTTTATAGTGCCTGCTCACACAAAACCACCTCATGCTTTTTACTTTGTTTGAGCAGATCCACCTTAAAGGGAATAATATAGTACTGAGTCTACCCTCACACAGGTTTTACACCAGTGTAACATAATTGATTTCCATTAAATTATTCTCCATTTAAACTGGTGTCAGTTATATCAAAAACAGGGTCATTATTCCCAGCTGTTATCATTAGAGTTGGTGAATTGTTTTTTAGTCCAAAAATGTCTATTTGTCAAAACAAACTGGTCAGGGGAAAGGGTCAGTTTTAACCAATTTTTTGACTCAAAAATTATGGTGAAAAAAATGAAATAATTGAAAAGTCATGTTTAGACATTTTTCAGTTAAAATTTTCATTTTCCTGATTCTAAGTGACTACTTTTTGTTTCAAAATGTAATTACAGTAAAAAATTTAAAAATTAAACATTGTCAAAATCAAATAGAAACATTTAGAAATGATCAGAACAAAGCATTTTGGTTGACCCAAACAGACATTTATTTATTTATTTATTTTGGTTTCTTGTTTCATGACATTTTTCAAGATTTTCATGTTTTGTCCTGATTCAGAAGAGAAATTTTTTTCGAATTCTCAAATAGTTTCACAGGATGGAAAAACTGTTCCCCACTCCATTTTAGTTATCATTTCTCAGAATTACACTCTCTACATTTTTCTGCATGCACAATAACAGATATAAATATATTGGGTAGCTGATGTAGCAGGGTGGTCCACCCCGCTCCAGCCCTGAAGGAGTTAAAACAGCCCTGGGAGAGAAAGGGGTCAAAAGCATCCCTGGAGAGGGCTGTGGCTGAGAAAGGCTAGGCTGATTGGAGAAGCAGCCACAGCTGGGGCCACGCCCCAATCAGGCCACAGTTGGCCCTATAAGAGGTGCTGAGGGCCAGGAGCTGGAAGAATCTCACTCTAGCCCTGGAGTGGGAAGGGCTAGCTGTCGGGGAGCAAGGTACCTGAGGTAGAGCAATGCTGGGGAAGTGCAGAGGGTTAGCTCAGTGGTTTGAGCATTGGCCTGCTAAACCCAGGGTTGTGAGCTCAATCCTTGAGGGGGCTATTGAGAGATCTGGGGCAAAAATTGGGGATTGGCCCTGCTTTGAGCAAGGGGGTTGGACTAGATGACCTCCTAAGGTCCCTTCCAACCCTGATATTTTATGATTGGGTAGCTGGTGGAGCCCATTGCTATAATAAAGAGCTTCAGTAATGGGTTAGAAGAAAGGGTGACAAAGCAGCAATAGGGTGGAGATCTCTCATGAAGCAATGACACTCTGCCTATAGGGAAGGTTGTGGAACATGCTCTGAAATGTGGTAGGAGATTATCCAGATCCACTCATAGTTTCCATCCTCTTGGCTGAGGAGAGGGACCCACGTTCTTTTGAGGATCAGGCAATACGGCTCTCATTTCTGATCTCTGGCCTGGTATTTTCCCCAACGTCATCACAGACAGAATGTGGGTCCTCAGGTCCCTTTTGCCAGCAGCAGGGACTAGAGACTGCAGAAGGAAGCTGGCAGCTCAAGTTGAGCCCTCCATTCCCCCTCTAAGTTTCACTGGGGGGGAAATTCATAATTGTTCATTCATGGAAAGGTCTTTGGTGACCTATCCTAGCCTCTTCTGGACACACAAACAAACGTTGATTTCCCCCCCCCCACCATAACAATTAATTCTATTCTTATGTAGCTACACATTTGTGAAGTGATACATTATCCTTCCTTAGTTAATGAATGGCAAGATGGTACCAGAGGGGAGAAAATAGCTATTTACAGGGATATTTGCATTTTACTTTGTGGTCACACATTTCTTGAAGCCCTTTTGTTTTCTGTGACTTAATTGGAACGGTTTGAAAAGACAAACCCCCTATTGGGGTACATTGTTTGCTTTCTGTATGTGCATTTGGTGAACCCCTTACCTTGAGTGAATGAATTTTGTGAAAGAAGTCACTTTTTCCTTTTTGGCTAGCCAGCTGCTTCTTCTTTGGGTTTCCTCTTTCTTGTGAGTTGGATTGGAAAACCTCCTTCTAATATGGTAGCACTTCCCTGTTATATACAGGAACAACCAGGAACCATTTAGTATTCACTCTGATGGGGTGGGTCATTTTTTAACAGCAGGAACGAACTGTAGCAGAGATAACAATTTCCTGCAATGCCTTTGGGAGATATTGCTGTATTAAGTTTATGTATCAGTGTGGATCAGGGATTGTATATAATTCCATGGTGGGTGGGACCATAGCTTCAACAGCAGTGGTGGGCAACCTGCGGTCTACAGGCCGCACATGACCTGTCAGGGTAATCTGCTGGTGGGCCGCAAGACAGTTTGTTTACATTGACCTTCCACAGGCACGGCTGCTTGCACCTCCCAGTGGCCGCAGTTCTCTGTTCCCAGCCAATGGGAGCTGCAGGAAGCAGCAGCCGGCTTATTATTATGATATGATGCAATATTGATGCTGTTTTTTTAAGGAAGCTAGGCTTGATGGGATAGCTGATTTAAATATAATGCCTGTTCTTGCAGAACATATGTTTGTAGGTAAGAGTTGTAGATGTAGAGCTACCTCTTCACAGATGGTAATCTTAGAATGGAAACACTAATGTCGGATGGAATTACTTTATGTTGCATGCTCACTGTTGGATGCATTTGTTTGCTTGTTTGTTTGTCTCGTCTCAAGAATGAAATTGTTGATTTTTGCTAATTGTAGCGCTGAGTCACATATTTGTTTTATGCAGCCGCTTCACCCTGCTCACAACCCACAGTTTATTACAAAGTCTTAGGCTACCGATTATTTTTGCAAACCAGACATAAATACCACCAAAATGTGGGTGGACCAAAAAAAGCTTTTTGTTATTAGTGCAATGTCTTTTGTATATGAGTTTTTCTATTTTACAAAATAACACTGACAAGGTTCTGAGCTCCAGTTCTTCTTTTTCATCTAAAAATAACATTTTACAGAAGAGAAATGATGCACTGTAGTTTCCTGTGACAGAAACTGAACATCTCCTGTGTTGCACATCAAGGAATCATGTGCTGCATAGCCCCATAAGGTGGATCAACAATGGGGCTTGGAGAGCGTGAGTCTCCTGCTGGATCCCTGTTGTAACCCTTTTATCGTTTGTATATCCAGCCACTCCACTCCGAGAGCTTACTTTCTCGAGGGGGAGAGGATGGAGAAGTAATTTTGAGTGAGGATTTGATCCTGAATTAATTAAAATGTAGTGCATGGGCCTAGAATGTTTGATTTTTTTTTATCTAAGTAGGAAACATTTAGAATCCCTAGAATTCTAGATCCCCATGCAAAAAACTGATGCGTAAATTTGTCATTCAGATTTGATGAAGGATGTTTTCTCTTCACTAACTAAAAAGCACAGATCCAAATACTAGCTTTTCAATATCAAAAATTAGTAGGCTCTAGAGCGCCAATTAAACATTATCTTGTTAATGTCCTCCTTTTATTGTACGATATAACCCTCACAAGCTAAGTAGATGGTGTTATCAGGCTAATTTTGGGACCACTATCATTATAATGTAGTTTTTTCAATGACGTGGTAGACCAGGTGGCAAGACAGCATGGCTTTGCATTGCCAAGGTGCAAAACAAATTCAATGTTCAATCAACCTGAGAGAAAAAGGACAATTCTCATTTGCATAAACATGTAGCCACGGAAACTAGATGCACAGAGGTATGAGGAAAAGAGCTCTATTTTACATGATGTGCATAGAATATTTGACAGTTTAGATTGGAGGCGTCATTGATGTGGGTAGGAATGGTGCAGTTGGTTGCCATGGATATGATTTTCCATACTGGCAGTGCAAAGATTGGCAGGGATGGATGCTGGAGAAAAAAAAAAAAAGACACACAAAAACGCCCAAACCACTGCAACACTCTGGCAGCCTCATTCTTTTCTTTTGTTGAAAAGCTACGCATCTTTTCTGTGCTAATGACAGCTCATCTAGCATGCAGTGTAATGTAGAAACATTGATATTTCTGTAACAAATCATTTATGTACAACATATATTTATACTCTGCGCACACACATATATAAAATATATATTTATACATTTATTTTACATAGTGATATAGATGGATATAAAGGAATAGATATATAATATGTAAATATATGTATATATTCCAGATTATTTTCTCTGATCTAACATATAATCTAAAAAAAAAAAAAAACTCAAAACCCAGCATATGTATACATCCACACATGCATGCACATGCTAATTTTAACTGGTAAGAAAAGTATAAGACGGTATGAATCTGAATCAACAGAATTAGCAAGCAACAAAGAAAAACAAAGAGGAATGGCTTGTATGGAGGGTGTATAGTTCACAAACTGGTCACTAGTTCACAAACTAACTGGTCAGAATGCTGTTCACCAATACAAAAATGTGTTTTTATGATTTTACAGCTTTTAATATACGGTTTGAACATGCCAGGTGCTGAGCACTCTGGATCTGATTTAGCAAAACATTTAAGCATGTGTTTAACTTTAAGCATGTGAATAGTCCCATTAAAGTCATAGGACTATTCACAGGTTTAAAGTTAAGTGCTTTGCTGAATGGCCACCAAACTGCTAAGCAACTGGCAGAATCCAGGCCATATTTCCTTATACATTACCTTACTAGAAATCAAAAATAGACTATTTTTATCTTTTCCTCAAAATAGTTCAATACCTTTGGCCAAATGCAACTCTCAGTTACACCGGAGCAACTCCTGGCCCCATGTAAATGAGTGCTCATTCATTCATAATCTTCTAGGTATCTATATAAATGTCTAGATTTGGCTTGTATTGTAGCAGGTGCCATTTAGAAATAATGTGATTTAGTTTTTACAAAAATTGATTAAAAATATAATGTTGTTTGGTTTTAAGTTTTTAACAAGAACTGCAGCTTAGATTTATCCTTTGAACATAGGCAGCTAGAGTCAGCTTTTGGTTTGGTGCGTGCAAAACCAGTGAAGCAAAGTGTTGGGGGATGGGTGGGAAATATCAGCATTAGGTGGTGGTCAAGTAAATAGGACGTGGAACTGAGTGAGGAGATCTGAATTCTCTTGCTAGCTCTACCACTGACTTTCTGTGTGACCTTAAGCAAATCAGTTAACTTCTCTGTGCTTGTGTGTCCCCCATTGTAAATAGGGATAATTATACTGTGTAAGCTTAGGGATCTATAGATGAAAAGGCACTATGTGAATGCAAGGTATTCATGTTTATTAAACTCGTGTTTTTCCCTAGTTGTTGAGATGTAATGAGTAGGATGCCTAAGGATCCCATTTTTTTCTGGAGAAGGCCCTCCAACCTTGTATGCTCACTGCTGGTTCCCGCATTAGTCTTGTGGGAAATACTGACTAGGAAAGAAATGAGCTACCAAACCACCAGCAAGGGAGCCTGATCCAAAGCTTTTTGCAGGCAGTTGAAAGACTGATTTCAATGGGATTTGGATCAGGCCCAGCGTGAGAGCTGGCAGAACTGACATAAAGTGACATTGGAGTGATTTAGAGTGGGGTCTGGTGGGCGGTGGGGCTTCAGCATCTGAGAATGTGTGAGATGTAAAGAGGAGGGGGGGAAAGGGAGAAGTGTAGACAGAGCCCCCTAGCAGCACTAAGGAAAGCTCCGGTTTACAGAATATGTACAATTTCTGCACAATGCTCCACTGACCTACCTGATCAGAAGGAACCATTTCAAAGTTGTTCAGTCCCTATGCCAGTTCAACCCTTGTGCCTTCTGCTGAGAATGCCCTCCAGATGCCAGTTGTGATGGAGGACTGTTTCTGTTGTTGGGATTTAATTCCAGACTTTAGGTCTTTGTGGAAGCAACTCCACAATAATCCATGGGCTAGAGGGCAGATTATTTCCTCTTCCCTATCCCCACCATCTCCTCATGTGTCTGCTCAGTATCCAGCCTGGGTATGAGGGCTGGGTAGTAGGCTCTGGATTTGTCCTTTTATTTGTACTGTACACCTGGTTCAAACAAAACATGGAAAGCAGCTTGTGTCTCCAAATTAAAATGATCTTTAGTCATGATGTAGGAACATAGGAGAAGGATGTGAATTGTTGCTGTATTGGGTGAACACCTGCAATATTTCAAACTGTGAGATAATTCTTCTGAGGTCAGAAGGGGAATTCTGCCAACATCTGTTTTCCATGGACAAACATCCACTTGCCTAAATTGCACTCAAAAACTGGTGTGTAGTCCCATGCAGTGTGGCGTCTATGTTTTCATCTTGAATCAAGTACACAAAACAAAGTCTGACCCAAATCTATTCATTTTTAGGTATTAATACATTGGGTCACCATCTAATCTAATTAATGATTGCACTGAGATCAGAATCTGGAACAAGAAGCATTTATTGTCAGCGTTTTCAGCTGTGAATTGGTGCTGGTTATAATAATCAATTCAAGTTGCTGTTTATTCTGGTTGATTTAAATGTCCTAATTCCATTCTCTGTCATACTCTTCTTCTTCTTTCAGGGGTAAACTATTTGCCAGCCTCCCTCCCTAAATAAACGTCAGGAAAAAATTTAGATTTCAGTTTTCGACTAGCATCGCCAGTACCACCTCAAAAGAGCTTTATAATGACATTTCCATCTTTTGTACAGCCTGTTCCTTGTTTTTCTGAATCATTCAAATTAAGGCTTGAGATGAAGAAAAAAATAAACAGTCAGATGGATGTATTCTGACATTTAATTATATATTAATAATTGCTCACAACAATGTTTCTTTTCATATCAGAGTCCAAAGGAACCAGGAGGCAAAGCTATGCACTGTTTGTCTCACCCAAATTGAGAACGCAGTGTAACTCTGATCTCAAAAGAGATGTTGAGAGAAGTTCTCATTATCTTATGAAACTAGTCCTATTTTTTCAAATATATTACATTTTTGTCATCTGTATTTTTTAAAAAATTAAGCCATCTACCCCTTGCACTGGTAACAATGGATATATCAATTGAATTTTCCATTGCCTGCATTATCTTTCTAAAAAGAGATGTCAGGATGTCTAGCCAACCAAGTGATCCACTGGCTGAACATTTTTGGATGCTTCTTAATT